ATTCTTTTATTTATTTATAGGATTTTTTGATTAGGAATAAAGCCATACAATATACACATTAGGGAATAAATTTCATTGTATATATTAATTAACTGTGTGGACAAATCTGATTTATAGGCGTTTTAAATACAGTAAAACACCTTTGGTCATCATTTCGACGGATTGGCAGAATTGAACCTTTTTCTGAGGTTTTATTTTAATTTAAATGTTGCGGAAAGGCTTACAGATTTTTAAATCAAAAAAATCCACCGAAATACATAACAAAAATTATCCAGCATTGAATGCTAAATATTTATAATAAAAAGTTCGCGCAGCGTATTATTTTACGCCGTTATTTAGATATGGCTTGTATTTATTATAACATTCTGATTATCTTAAAAAAAAAAAGTTTATATATTAATTTTTGAAAAAATCATTCAAACGTTGATAAAGTAGGATTTAAGCCTAATATTATAGGTTTTTTGGAAAACGCATAAATTTAATTGCTAAAAAAAAATTTATATCATACGCCATCGCAATCATATATTTAATTCAGCTACAAAAATTATCCTAATTATCCCTATACCCCAGCCCATATTTTTCGGGTTCTAACAATTCGTCAGCAACTCCTTTGACAATATTTGACAATTCTTTAGTAACTTGTTCTTTATCATTTCCTGATAATTCAAAATAATATTTTATTTTTGGCTCTGTACCACTACATTACAAAAAAAAAAAAGTATACAAAAAACACGATAATTTAGTTAGGATGCAAGAGATTAAAGTCACTGAAGTTTAAAAAAACATGAACCTTGTCCTTAAAGTTCCAATACATCCACTTTCAAGGCCAAATGTAATCATCTGACTACTTTCTGACACTGGTAATGTTGGTCTATTACCAATTGTCGAGGTATCGTAACCAATCGTCAAGTCTCTAACATAAGTAACTTTATGATTTGCCAAAGTTGTAGGATATGAAAGCTTATATTTATATGGATACTATAAATTTTATAGAACAAATAAATGTTAAACTAATTACTAATAATATCTAAGTTATGAGATAGATACTTGCATCATGTTCGGTTGATTTTATCTGAAACGATAAAATTATTTAGCGTTAATAATATTCTATTGTTAACAATTGAATCACATAAGAAACAAATATACACATTACCGGATTTTCGCCGTACCGAATTTTATCAAAAATTTTATTGATTGTAGTTGAGGAATGACAAATAAAATAAGAATTTTCTGTTACAAAATATCCATACCTAATCATGAAATATAGTTATCATATCAACCATAACATAAAAACAATAGAGGGACAGTAGAAAAGGGAACAAATCATTTCTGGTGTTTTTTTTTTTTAATTTTAAACTGTCTCCAACTATCAGTCAAAATTTGATAAAAATTGTCGCGCTGAAGCTGAAAATCGTGAGTATCCATTAAAATATAAGCCTATTAAAATCCACTTGTAAAGTTTTATTATAACTATAACCTTAAATCTAAATTCTAACCTAACTATAAAAAATGCACCACGAAATTTTAAACATTTCATATCAAAAATATGTCCAATGTCCAGCTTCAGCTGCGGCATTTGTCAAAATTTGTTTTGTAGTCATGGAGGTATTTTAGCTAAAATTTATTTAAACAAAATTTGCCCCTTTTCTATCGATAATTATCGGATTGATGTAGATATAAACATACTTTTTATATAATTCATCTAAGTACTCTGAAATCTTCATTTTTCGTTTGTCTAATTGTACAGTTAATTCTGCAAAAGCTCCTAAAGCGCTTATACCGTCCTTATCTTTAACAGCATCTCCAATCATGAATCCAATTGCTTCTTCATAAGCAAATAATACCTCATACCCATTTTTTATCAGATCAATCGCTACATTGCCTAACCATTTAAATCCTGTTAAAGTTTCTTCGAAATAAAATCCTTCAGTCTTTGCAATTCTGGCCAGCATTTTAGACGATACAGCAGTTGATAACATTGCTAATTTTCCTGAAAGTGTTATAAACGTATTAAATGATGTTCGAAATTTATAAAGCTATTAATAAAATTCAATGCTCACCAAGTGGTTTGCCACTAGCCTTATAATTACTTAATACAACAGATGCAAGCATTACACCTATTTGATTGCCCGAAAAGATTGTCCATTCACCACTATTGTCATATTGTAAGAAGTTCGTTACTGTTTTACTAAACTGTTAGCTATTATTCAAGATTATGAAGATATGTGACTAACTTTTTTTGCTTTTCCGAAACTGAAAACCTATCAGCGTCAGGATCATTCGCAAATATGACATGTGCCCCAGCTTCTTCTGCTGTTTTCATGGCAAGTGTCTAAACCAAACATATAATATCCAATATATATTATAAATTAAATTTATTTATAAACTGAAAGAAATTAATAACATACCAATGTTCCTGTAACACGGTTGAATTAATACAAGAAATTAAGTTTAAAGAGATTTGCATGAGATAAATTAATATTTGACTCCATATCACTACCTTTTCCTTCTTCGGGATTAGGAAATGTTACTGTCGGAAAGTCTGGATCTGGGTCTGTCTGTTCTTTGGTAAGGATAAGTGATTTTAAACCAAATATTTCAAATATTCTTTTTGCTGCTGGGGTCCCAACTCCATGCATGGCTGTATAAACAAATTTTAGATTTGATGCCGCATTATCTTCACTAAAGTAACAAAATCCAAAATTAATGTGCGATATAAAATATAAACATTATATAAATAAAATCAGGTTATTACCGGTGGTATGACAACACCTTCAGCTCTTCAAAATAAGCATCAGAAATTTCCTTTATATTGTCGATACATAATTCGCTATTATTGACAACATTAGGGTCCCATATCCAGGGTTCAAGATTATTATTAATTGCATCACTGACACCTTTGTCATGTGGTGGAATGATCTAAAGATTGTGGTAAACATGAATATAATATGAATATAATATGAATATAATATGAATATAATAAAATAGCGAAATGACAATATAAATTCAATCAAAACAGATCATTGCATACCTGGCATGCATTTTCCCAATATCTTTTTTTATGAAGTAAACGTATTCAAATAAATCAAAATTTTTAAATGTAAAAAAGTTCCTAGATAACTCCATTAATACCTACACTTTATAACCATTATCTTGCTTAGGGTTCTAATTAAGTTGTAGTACATTTCATTAGAATAGCTGATATTTAAAAATCACGAATAAATAAATACCAACGTGTGAAGCAGTGATCATAATCCCACAAGCGGCTTTTAATTTCTTGACACCATAAGGCTAAAATAATAAAGTTAATGGGCAAATATTTAAAGCAAACTCTAACGCATTAAATAGACTAGTGAGAAACCTACCACTAGTGGAGTATGAACTAACTTACGATAAAAATAAACTTTAAACCCTTTTGATAAAAACACAGCTGCACTTAATTTTGCAAATGTTTCTGAATTATGCCTATGATCAAACCCAATCACAACACCCTTAACAATTGCATTTTGTATAGTGTCAAGAAGGTACATGCAAAGACCCTAAAATAAGATTTAAATAGTTAAAGGTTAATAGTAAGAGTAAGAAGTTATATAAATAAATTAAGCCATAATTAATACCTGTGAAGTCTGAATTATAGTGAGATCATTTATCCTCGCAAATCCAGCTTCCATACTAGATCGCAATCCTAATTATTTTATTAATGTTAATAATAAAAAACGATTAAATTCGACATGTAAAAACTCAACCACTAAAACCTTACCTGCAGTGCCAAATGATATCCTATTGCGAAGACGTTTTTCTAATTCTTCAACATTACCCTCAGCATAAAGTTTGTCTATTTCTAAGCGTGTTATAGGATTCTTTGCAAAATAAAAATAGTCAAAATTGTTAATATAATTTAATAATTTAGTAAAGGCAACATTGATGATAAGCAACCTTGTCTAAGCGAAGCCATTCTTTAACAAGAGAATCGATTGATGCCATCGTCCGTAGAGTAACTGAATTGTCGAATATTGAAGAATGTTGAGTTTGGCAGATACAAGTTTACGGAGTGATGATCATTTATTCTATTCTTTAGGGCTATCCGGATTGAATCCGGGTAATTTTTGATCTACTGCAGTAGTATACTAACTTTCTTATCTGTTATGATAATTTTT